CTGCACCCGCGTGCGCTGTTCCGTCAGGATGATCTGCACGAATTATTTTATAACCGTTAATTTTAAAATTTGTATTTTTTGTCAGGTGGGTTTCAGAAATAAGAGCTAAATCAATGTTTTTGTTATGCAAAATATAGTATAGCTCGTTTGCATGTTTTTTCAATCCATTGGCATTCCAAAGAATTATCGATAAAGGATGTGTGGCGTTAGAGTTAATTGACATTATTATTTTTGAGAAGAACTTGACTAATTACTTGAATTAAAAGAGTTATAAGAGGGTTTATAATGGATTTTAAGTCGTTTATGAATGTATTCAATTGTGATGTTAGGTTATTTATAGAATCGGTACTTTGGTTTGGCGGGCATTGGTCATTTTTGTTAGAACTGGTTTTATTTTTTAGTACTTGGGAGTACGATGATTCAATATTTACATTTGAACCTGTGTTATTGTTTATACTTGTGTTTGACAAGACATGTTCATTTACATAGTATTTGTTGATTGAATTTGATATATTAGTTTAGCGATCCGGCTTGGTTCCCCGAGTTTGTAGGTTTTTGAAGACTTCACAGCCTCGGTAATTTGCGGGATGGTCCCCGCCACATAGTGTACATTTGGCCAGAAGATCTTTGTTTTTGGTACAAGATTCAGAGCTGTGTTGTTCGCTACAGCGTACGCAACGAGGCTTGCTGTTGCAGTAGTGACGTGTATGTCCGTAATTTTGACAATTCATACATTGCGGTAATTGTTTACGTGCTTTGGGTGCTTCAACTTTAACTTTGGTGTAACAAAGTGAGGTTAGCGAGAAAATGTCTTTATTATTTAGAGCGTGTTCGAGGTCGATAAAAAATAATGGTAAAGGGATTTTTGTTAGATTTTGCAAAACGTTTGTAATGTTACGCGCTAGATGACCGTTTTTTCCGAGTTCTTCTTTGATAAATTCGATTTTTGTTGATGGATGTAAGTTTCGGATCACTATGCGGTATGCTTTTTCGTCTTTCAGTTGATATGTATAAAAATCAATGTTGTATTCTTTTAGATATTTTATAACTGAGCGAAAGGAACTTATTGTGTCTGTTTGAAGTTTTAAGACGTTTGTTGTGCTTTTGCATGTGAATTCGGCTGTGGGTTCGATTCTATTTTTTATGTTAGTGCAGAAAGAACTAAATACGTTTATTTTGGTTTTGATAAATATTGGTGGTGGTTTTTTTTCTAATGGAGCTGGGACGTCTTCGTCCATTGACTCAATTTGATCATCTTTGTCAACTTGAGAGAGAAGAGAGTAACTATTTTCAGTGACAAAATTTGTGTTAGATTGATTTTTAATGTTTTTAGATTTAGGAAAGTTTCCTTTGGAAGTAGGATTTGAACGCTTATGTTTTTTTGGTGAAGTTACTTCTACTCAGTCAAAATTAAAGACACCGTCATCGGATATTTCAGTAGAATTTGATTTTTGTATAGTGTTTTGATTAATTATTTTTATTGGCGATACACATTTATTATTCCTTTCGGAGTTTTTGTTTCGTTTGGCAGTGGGATACATGTTGATAATAATTAATATTATCTACTAATTAAGTGATGATTGCAAGACAATTTATGAGTTTTGAATTGCGTGCGCAGTTCAATGTCCGAGTAACGTGATTAGCGTATTATAATAAGTATATTAACGGTTTTTAGTAATAGATTTGGTACTATACGTATATGGGTTTGTATAATTAATATACTTACACAAAGTCTTGTCTTGGGGTTTTGGGCCCCAGACGGACGGCAATTTTTTTTTGTTAAAAAGCACTTAAAAATTTTAGTTTTTTTAACACTTTTCGGAACAAAAACGATTGAGTATTTAGTTAGATTTTTAATAAAATCATAATTATCAATTAAATTAGATGCACACATTACGAGTGCGGGACATCGAATTGATATTCGATTTAATAAAAAATAAAAGTATCCGTTTTTAAAATGTAATACGAGTGTTGTAATACATTTTTGTAACATATCAACTCAATGTTCATACATTTTAATTTAACAACATGACATGTTCATGCTATTATGCTTATAATTATTAAAAAAAAAAAAAAAAATCTATTATTATAAATGTTGATGGCATTATATAAACATTTAAGAAAAAAATAAAACTTGGTAACGTTTAAAAAGGTTTAACATGAATCACCATATACATTTCAAAAAGAGAAACAAATTATAAAACATTAAATACATTTATATGGAACCTATTCTTTTATTCTTTTCTATCAATTATCGTTTCATTTTTGAATACAATTATAAATATTGCTTTAAAAGTATTTGTGCAAAAAAAAAAAATTGAAAAGTTTAATTGAATTCCTTACAATTAATTGTAATCAACAAATAATAAAATGCATAATTTATTTTATTTTTTTTTCAACTTTTTGAATATGATAATTATTCATTTATTACAAAATATATTACATAGATATTTATTTACATTTACATTTAAAAATTGAAAGATAATTCATTTTCTATGTTATGTTGGCAATTATTAATAGATTTTTCTGACATTTATTTTGTATCTGGTTGTATTATTTTAAAATATTAAAACAGTATAATATCTATGTCACTCAATGTAGTATAGGCCTGCTATTTGTAATTATTTTATTTATAAGTTTCAAAACTTGATATCAAAAATTATTATTTATATTAAAATATTAAACATTTCTAAGTTAAGCTTAACTAATAAAAACCATCGACTAAAAATAATAAAACAAAACGAAATTAAAAAAAATAAATTGTAATATTTTTTAGATAAATATCAAGTAATTAATAATATCCGAAATTTGAAATGAACACATTTTATACAATATTAACCACGTGATTATAAAAGATTTATTGTGTACTGTATATTAAATTAAATAAAACTGGTTTTCACTAATTTAAACATTTTACAAATACTTTTATCAATAAATATAGTAAATAAAAATAATCATCATTTGTATTTAAAATGAAAAATAATTTACTACAATGAAACACAATAAAGACAAAAATCAGTGCATATGCAATGATCATACTGTATATTTGCCAAATAGTTTTGTATTGTATATTAATTTTAATTTTTCATTGACAAACAAAAATAATTTATCTACATATTGTTCAACACAATTATTCAAATTAAATTTATTTGTTAAATTTAATGTTTACAGCTATTCTATAATAATTTCAGTAAATTAATTTATTGCTGAATGGCTATGATCTAGTACTTTAGGAACATCATTAGAAAAAATGAATAAATAACGTTAAAATAAATGCACAAAGCTCTCTGGAAAATAAAATATAATACATTTTTAACATTGCTAATTGTTAAACTAAATAAATTGGTTTTAGTTATTTTAAAATTATAAGATCACGAGAAAGAAATAATTTAAATAAAATTAACTATGATTCTAATTATTTACACGCCGTGGCTTTGATTCCATTATTTTCCGATTTCAATTTATTTCTAACAAATACACACTGTTACTTAATCCATTTTTTTCTAAACAAAAATAAGCAATACGCAAGTATTAAAGTAATGCGAGTTAAAAAGAAAACAACTTATTGGTGTAAATTAGAATTAACTTGTACATAACAGAGTGGTGAATAAGTGAGTTGGCAGGCTTCTACCGATTTAAGCTAAGTTAATTATATGCCAGCGGTTCGTCGTATATTTAAATTGATGAAAATGTTGAAAATTACACAAAACTATTTTCTCTCCAAACGGTAAAGCGAGAATTTTCGTATATGATTTATAAAATCTATTAAACCGTGACGGTTTTTTACCCTTAATAAGACTATGGGAAATATTTTAGTTGAGAAAATAGGGTAGAGAGAAAAAAAGAGAAAAAATGAGAGAGAGAGAAGGAGAATGTTATACAAACTTCCGAGCATTATTAATCGAGCAGTTACCGGAGCAGTACGGCAAAAGCTACGGGTAGTATCAAATTTTTAATTTACGAAGATGTGCGTGTGACGAAGAGCACCATTTACGTGAAAGTAGGGCAGCGTACATATAATTTTTTCTTTTCCGGTTTGGCTGTAATTTCGTTTTCAAGGCGATCGGGGGAAAACAATTTTTTCGCATCACTAGATCCTTCGTTTCTTTTCTTTCCTCAAACCAATCCCTCACTCGCCCACTCCGTCGATCCTTTCAACTTTGCCGGCTGTTAAATAAGGTGTAGCAGAGGAGGATGGGATTAAATAATACGAACACACGCGTTTAATTAATAACCTATACATCTGTATGCTATTATACCGATTTGTGTGATGCCGCGCGAATAATCGCGCGAGCTGCAGCAATGTCGCGTTTGGGCACGTTGGGAAGTGGTGAAAAAGCGAAAATAATCAAATAGCGTTCGAGGATCGAATAGAAATATATGAAATAATGGTATGAACGGAATGAACGTACGTTACATTTTCGATACGTGCCACTTGTACAAGACGCATAATTAACGGATTTTGCATCGTGAAACTGCTCTAGTCTGCCACCACACGCGTGTGAGCACGCGGACGTGGAGAATATAATATCGAACAACGGCAAATATCGACCGGGCCGCATATCCGCCGCCGCCACGACTGCCACCAGCGGCGACCAACTGAGGTGGCGGCGGCGGCGCGACGTTGCCAAAGAGGCAAAACATGAGCCCCGAAGAGAGATGACTTAGCTTAAAAAATGGATGTTACGACATCTTGCGATCTGGTTAAATCGTTCATTGTGTGCACCATCGCCGGTCACGTCATTTCCTCATCTGCCCGCAGCCGACCCGGGGAGCGTGAAATACCGACATATGTGCATATATATTATTATATTTATAAATTTACAAATATATAGGGTATTGCAATAAAGTAAAGCATATTTGAATAATTCTCAAAGAAGTAAAAAAAAAATATATTTATTTAACAGAATGTTAATTTTTTTTATTATTCACAGAATTTTATCGACATTTATTGTATATACCTGATGATACATTTTTAATTCAAAATCGATTATACTCTACAAATATAACAATACTCCAAGCTAAGCATTTATTAATTAATTTAGACTCAGAATACCTTAAAGCGGTGTGGAGCCCCATAGGGAAGAGACCAATAGAACGTCCAAAGAAGCAATAAGTAGATGGAATAAAGCAGGACTTAGAGAAACTAGGGATATCAAATTGGGAAGAAAAAGTGCAAAATCGGGAATAGTGAAAGAAAGTGTCGTAGGTGACAAACACTCTTGAAGAGCTGTGATTCCAGTGAAAGAAAAAATAATATTCATTTACCAGTATTAACCACTTACTCATTTTTAATTCTAAATACATTTTTTTTATAATTTTATTACAGAATGTTATTATTGAAATCATAAACTAAATGTTATGCCGTTAAGAGTTCAAATGTTATAAATATCTTATCTTAAAATTAATGTCCTTTAACTGAAATCCATTTGTATTATACATTCCCGAAATTGAACGCTGGCAATGTGCAATGGCTCTTTCCAATACCTAAAAAAATATTGCAGGAGCCGAAGCCACTGGCCACCAATTGCGGTTATGGAAAAGATAACTGATGATCTCAGTTTGGTTGACAACTTGTTAGTATGTCCTACAAATGCATGTTTACTGATGGACACCATCTTACGGACGTCATACTTTTATACAATTTGATTTTTTAACTTTTGGACTCGTAAAAACTTTAATGGAGATTTTGTTTTCAATAAAAAAATGATATTGATATATATATATTTATTACTCCTTTGCGAGTTATTTAAAATGTTTGCGTTTTTTTCGGAAAACCCTGTATACGTGTGTACATACAATTTTCTAGTTTTCTACTCGTTTGCATATCGAAAATATACTCGAATCGTGGATTACCAGTCACCACGTATATGCACGTGCGAATATGTGTGAGTACACAATATCCTGTTACTTTATGCAATCATCCAGAAAGCAGAGTTTTATTTTATTTTTCACACTTTTCATACTGTGTTTCTGGAAATATTGTGTATACAATCAAATCTCGTACCAGCAGAAAACTCGAAACGAACTAAAAAAAAAACATAAATTTTATTTCTTTTACACTCATATAACTTTGAAGTAAAATGAGAAAAATTCAATATTTGGCTTGTTATCTTGAAAATAAGATTATTATAAGTAAAGCACCATGCGTTACAACTGTCATATATAATATAACAATAGGTAGGTAACAGGCTTTATTTCTATGTGTACTCCGACACACAATGTGCACCACGAATGTACAAGTGTGTACTACTATTTTAACGTGTGTGCACTACGGTCTACAAAACAAAAATTAAATAATAAGCCAACTACTAGGAAATATGAGTATTATTGAATTTTTTAAAATTTAATGCATACATATATATAAATTGTGTATGTAATATATTCCTTTTACTAAGGCAGTAGCGAGACTAAATTTTCATTTAAAGCAGTAAAATCAAGTGTGCAGTCCAAAATTGTACAAATAATAGGGCCTAATAGGTAAATATAGTTATAAATATATTTACTATAAAAACTGTACAGCATTCTCGTCGCAATCATTAGCTATTGGCGTGAATTGCACGTGTGTATAGATCTATTTTCGTATGAATAAAACCTCCCTAGAAAACAAAAATTAAATTACGATTTATACCCATATTCGTAATATATTACGTATTTGTGTAAATGTAGTACGTATATACTTATTTCATTAACTTAAAATAATTTGACTTCATAGTAAAGACTTAATAGTAAAGTTTAGACCTAATTTCTTTAAACTTTTATTTGTTTTTATCCTTATTTGAATTCGAAGCACTTTCAATACTTAATACAGAAATCTTTATTTTTCATTTAAATTTAATTTATTACGAGTCCATTTAATATTTACTGTAAACTAAGGGTGGGTGTGTATGTGTGTGTGTGTTGAATATTTTGCACCCATGCTCGACAGAAGCGAGCAGCTGGTTTGAAATTAATTATCATGAGAAATGAGTTCCGAAAAAGAAGGTACACATGAATTATGTCCTACTATTATACGACAGGTTTAGTGGACAATATATTATACAATATATTCAAGGATTCTAAAAACCATCGTTTAACTTTGGCCTAAGAGTTACATTTTAACAAACAGAATGTTAGTATAGAAAACAAAATTTGGAAACTTAAATTTTATTATTTTATACTTACCTAGAACCAAATTATCTCTCGAAGTATACCAAATATACATATCTTAGATATACATATTTAACATAGACATATACATTGTTGTATAGAATTTAAAAAAAATAAAAACTATAACATTATTGTTATTCAATTCTTTTTTTTTTTTGTACTTTTACCTGATGTGCTAAATGTATTAAAAATAAAAACCCTCTATCGTTTAATATTCTATTATTTGATATTATTTGAAGAATATTTCTATGGAAATAATTTGATTAATTGTTCACAATTTAACTCCTTTTGATTGTTTTAAAACACATTTTAAGTACCACATTGAAATAAAATACAACAATAGCGTCCACAAGACCCCGGACGAAATTTGTGTAAACCTCTTTTTTGGGACGCACCTCATGTCAATTCCCAAATATAACAAGTTTTTTAATTTTAATTTTTTTCATTATTTTAACTGTTTTTAGACTTGTTGTGCACATGCAAAGCTTAAAAAATAATTTTTATATATTTTATGTGTCTACGTACATATGCGTGTTTACTATATTATATTACCTATATATATATATATATATATATATATGTATAAGATATTATGTCGAAATGAGTTTTTAATAAATATACCATGCAGTAACGACCATTGTTTATGAGTTTTAATATTATATTTTAACACACGGCGTTCAAGTTTAGCCTTTAACATTGAATTTATGAGATAATGATTGCAAAGAAATACAAATATTGGAACAATGTGTACGTGTAACTGTAAATATTATAAGACGTGAAACAAACGTTGAACTGTGTACCCTGCGATGGGCGATATGAATTTCGCGAAACGTCAAGAAAACACCGATAAAACCAGTAAAAAAACGAAAAATACTCAAAATCAACGACATGATAGATTTTCTGTAGCGTCGAACCCTGTAAGAAGATTACACGAACAGATCAGCTTCTATATAATATTATGTTCCAATGGAAAATAAAAAAATTGTATTTGTAGTTTGCCATTCGAACTGAATTCACTCGTGCATGAACATGTTTGACATATTATCCACAACAATAGATAATAATAGTTTTATTTCATCTCGTTTTTAATGCTGTATAAATGTTTTATCCAAATATGATTTTTTTAAAAAAAAACTTTATATTTGCGTGCACACACTTTTTCTATTTCACAAGAGGTCGCACACAACGATAATAACAATTAACGCGGACATTAATCATAGACCGTTGTATACGAGTAGACATTTTTCATTTCATATAGGTAGGTTCGTTTATAATTTAGTTCACAGATATTACAAAAGATTGAAAAATCGGGTCCAAATTTGTATGCCCAACGAACCTTATCGCATTTTTTCCCTCCCGTTTAATAAAACTACCTACTTTATGAGTGCAAACGCAGGCATTTTGATATGAGAACTTATGTAAATTATTTGTTTATTTATAATACAATTCGTTTTCAACAGAAATTATTGTTTATTTTTTCGATTTCATACACATGTACGAGTACAATAAAGTACTATGTAGTTTATTATAATTTAAGTTTATTTTAATCACTTACAACTCATTATTTTTCTTTTTTAGCGGATCACTGAAGTATTTTTTTTGAAAAAAACTTTGTTTCTTTTCTTTTTAAGAAAAACATTTTTTTTTTTTTTTTTTTTTATTAACAAAAAAAGGTGATTTTATAAAAACACATAGTGTTCCCGAAAATGTTCTAATCATAAAACACAAGTCTATATAACGGCAACCTGTTTATAAAAGATAAACAATATTAAATATTTTAAATTATCAAAAACTGATGGCATTTGAAAGGAAATTTGTGAGAAAAATTGATATATTTATTTCTATTCTTATTACAGACGTTTAGGAGGATATACGCATTATTAAATTTTCGGTAAATCGTATTTTCCTTAAATTTACAAATTAACATATATATGAGCGATATACAATAAATAATAATAATAAAAATAAAAAATATTTTTCATTTCTCATAAAAAGATTTTATTGGGACACTGGGAAATCCTTTAAATGGAGTAACTAATTGCAAAAGTTAGAAACACATAATTTTTATCATTTCCGTTACACTATATCAATTGTCTGTAAATAATTGTTTTTTTCTAAAACGTTGCCACACTGAAATCGATTGATAATGCATTTATTCTTATCTCATAAACGAGTTTAATTTTTAGTTGAAACATTTTTTTTTTAAACGAGGATTAAAAAAATCATGTTTTTGTTTTAAAATAATTTTAACACATATTCATAAAATCACATGGAAATAATAGAAAATCAATATCTGAACAATTAATATTGAACTGTTTATATGTGTAAAAACTTATTCTATGAAAATACATGGCGATGAAGCTAAATTTAATTTAAATATATCGTATTGTCTCAAAATAGTATGTACTTTTTAAGGAACAATTTTCATTTAAAATAAATTAAAATTAATAATAATAAGAATATGTATATACATATAAATTAATATTGATTTTAGGAGTTACAAATAATAACGATAAATTATGAGCTAAAGATTTTTTTTTCTATGAAAAAACATAATTCCTTATTAAAATTTAAAATTATAATACAAAAATACCACCGCATGTACCTTCTATATCAAAATTAAAACAAAATTAAAACTGACAAAAGAAACATTTTTATTTGCAAGAATCCAACGATGATCAAAACAGCAAGTTATGAAATTAATTTAATTTAAATAAAGTTAAATTAAATGGAAATATTAAACTAATAGGTACTTATTTTATTATTATTATATTAAATAAATTTTAAATATGTTTGATGTTATGATTTTTATAATATCATTTTTAAACTATGATAAATACATTTTCAATACATTTTTATTGAATATTTTTTTATAATTTTTAAAGTTTTAAGTTATCAATGATAACCTATAAATGGGGCTTATTTTAATTTAAAATTCAACCGTATACAACCAATAGATTTGTACATATTAAACGACTAAAGACCCAAAAAGAAAACCGTTTACTTTAAATATCTCTTTCTTTCAGACCGTCATGCAATACCAAAACTTGATAATTAAGTGAATCGGGACATTCATTACAGTTATTTGTATACAATAATTCATTGCAATCGATTTCATTAAAAAAGATACACCTATACTCTGTAATATGAAAGCATTGCAAGTTGAGGGTGCTGTATCACGCTGCTGTCAAGCTACACAAAAATGGTCAAAGATAAAGTTACCTACTCATTTTACTTTTAAACGCCGTACGATGTTACTGTTGTTTTCATAAGACTTTATATCTTCCATCTGATAAGGTTGTAAGTGCACCAGAACAATTTTTTTCGTAGTAAATTCTTTGTCTAAACATGTATGATAAATTACGGTTCACTGTTGTACATTCGGAAACACAATGAATTTAAAATTTGGGGTCATGATGTTTAAAACAAGATATCGTTTTCGATTTCCGGAAAGTAGCGACGATTACCAAACGCTTACAATAAATGGCGTGTGAGCTGAAAATATGTAAACGTTTTGAATTGGTTAGAATTTGCTTTTGAGTTGGCATTCGAAAAACTTTATAAAAATATTCCATTTCGGAATTTAAGTATTTGTATAATAAGTATATATAATAATATAATATAGTATAATAAGTATATATAAAACATGCCTAGAAAAAATATGTAAAATAACTTATGTTTTCAGTATTTTTACAACAGCGGCATAATAAAGATAGTGAATATATATACTCCGAAGAAAGAATCTGAAATGTGTCCGGAACATCAACACTCAAACTAAAGACGTATTATAATAACCTAACCATAAAGTAAAGGGAAAATTATTATATACATTTTATTGTTTAATGCTTGTTTTTGGTCGCAGTTTACAATTACCCTTTTTTTATGATCTGAGAACTGCGGGCTCGGATTGCAATTTTGTTTTTGTACTCGAACATTATATTTTTTACCCACCCGCATTTCTCATGTGGCACAGTGGTCAACGTTATTGTGTTCGGTATTTTATCATACTAATTTTAAATTGTGAGTGAGACAATAAGCTGCCATATTCGGTTACCCGTGGTATATGTCTACAATAAATATATAGATTTGTATATCGTACAAATAATATAGGTACATACCGGTTTATAGTGACATATTTCTATCCGAAGATAATAACTCAACTCGCATAATAATCCGTCGAATGTTTCACGGACCATTCCTGTGGTAAATATATGTAATGATATACGCTCATATTTCATATAACTTTATTGATTCGAACCTTCAAAGATCTCCTATAGTTAGGGGTAAAGTTTATAATGTGTAAGCTATAATGATAAGCTATGTGTTTTCAAATGTTTTTTACATTGTATTAATATTCAAGTTTCTCTATCACCTATTATTTGAATACTTTCTACACAGTCAAATTAATTGGTTTGATAAATTATTGAAAGAACACATAATTTGTTTCGAA